CGGAGACGTTCCTCCTTAGGTTGGTGGCCAGCGGAGAAGTTCCTCCTTAGGTTGGTGGCCAGCGGAGACGTTCCTCCTTAGGTTGGTGGCCAGCGGAGACGTTCCCCCTTAGGTTGGTGGCCAGCGGAGACGTTCCTCCCTAGGTTGGTGGCCAGCGGAGAAGTTCCTCCCTAGGTTGGCCAGCAGAGAAGTTCCTCCTTAGGTTGGTGGCCAGCGGAGACGTTCCCCCTTAGGTTGGCGGCCAGCGGGAGACGTTCCTCCTCAGGTTGGCGGCCAGCGGGGAGACGTTCCTCCTCAGGTTGGCGGCCAGCGGGAGACGTTCCTCCTCAGGTTGGCGGCCAGCGGGAGACGTTCCTCCCTCAGGTTGGCGGCCAGCGGGAGACGTTCCTCCTCAGGTTGGCGGCCAGCGGGAGACGTTCCTCCTCAGGTTGGCGGCCAGCGGGAGACTCAGGTTGGCGGCCCTCCTCAGGTTGGCGGCCAGCGGGAGACGTTCCTCCTCAGGTTGGCGGCCAGCGGGAGACGTTCCTCCTCAGGTTGGCGGCCAGCGGGGAGACGTTCTCTCCTCAGGTTGGCGGCCAGCGGGAGACGTTCCTCCTCAGGTTGGCGGCCAGCGGGAGACGTTCCTCCTCAGGTTTGGCGGCCAGCGCCAGCGGAGAAGTTCCTCCTCAGGTTGGCGGCCAGCGGGAGAAGTTCCTCCTCAGGTTGGCGGCCAGCGGAGAAGTTCCTCCTCAGGTTGGCGGCACACTTAGGTCCGACATGCATATATAAACAGTGTTTGTACCACACGTGAGGTATCTCCGCAAACGCTGGAGTGAGCGCAATCATTCTAGGTCCATCATTCATGTATGACTCTACACTAATAACCTGTAAAGGCTCTCAAAGCGCCACCTGTGGAGAATTTTGGGTACTGTAGTTTAACATTTCACAGTCGTGTGCAATTTACATCTTGATGTGTTTGGTATCGATTTACTCATCTTTTATAGTTTACCAGAAAGTTGTGTATTACCTGTTTCAAAATTTTATACTAGAAACAAAGAAAAACTTTTTATTTTTTTTTTTCAAATTTTTTGCTCTTTTTTTTTGTTTATAGTGCAAAAAATAAAACCCCCAGCGGGGAGTAAATACCACCAGATGAAAGTTCTATTTGTGTGAAAAAAATGATAAAAATGCCATATGGGTGCAGTGTCGCATGACCGCACAATGGTCATTCAAAGTGCGACAGAGCTGAAAGCTGAAAATCGGCCTGGGCAGGAAGGGGGTAGAAGTGCCCGGTAGGCAGGAAGGGGGTAGAAGTGCCCGGTAGGCAGGAAGGGGGTAGAAGTGCCCGGTAGGCAGGGGGTAGAAGTGCCCGGTGGGCAGGAAGGGGGTAGAAGTGCCCGGTGGGCAGGAAGGGGGTAGAAGGTCCTGTAGGCAGGAAGGGGGTAGAAGTGCCCTGTAGGCGGGAAGGGGGTAGAAGTGCCCGGTAGGCAGGAAGGGGGTAGAAGTGTCCTGTAGTAGGAAGGGGGTAGAAGTGCCCTGTAGGCAGGAAGGGGGTAGAAGTGTCCTGTAGGCAGGAAGGGGGTAGAAGTGCCCGGTAGGCAGGAAGGGGTTTAGAAGTGCCCGGTAGGCAGGAAGGGGGTAGAAGTGTCCTGTAGGCAGGAAGGGGGTAGAAGTGCCCGGTAGGCGGGGGAAGGGGGTAGAAGTGCCGGTAGGCAGGAAGGGGGTTTAGAAGTGCCCTGTATGGCGGCAGGAAGGGGGTAGAAGTGCCCGGTAGGCGGGAAGGGGGTAGAAGCGCCCGGTAGGCGGGAAGGGGGTAGAAGCGCCCGGTAGGCGGGAAGGGGGGGTAGAAGCGCCCGGTAGGCGGGAAGGGGGTAGAAGCGCCCGGTAGGCGGGAAGGGGGTAGAAGCGCGCCCGGTAGGCGGGAAGGGGGTAGAAGCGCCCGGTAGGCGGGAAGGGGGTAGAAGCGCCCGGTAGGCGGGAAGGGGGTAGAAGCGCCCGGTGGGCGGGAAAGGGGGTAGAAGCGCCCGGTGGGCGGGAAGGGGGTAGAAGCGCCCGGTGGGCGGGAAGGGTGTAGAAGCGCCCGGTGGGCGGGAAGGGGGTAGAAGCGCCCGGCGGGCGGGAAGGGGGTAGAAGCGCCCCGGTGGGCAAGGAGGGGGTAGAAGCGCCCCGGCGGGCAGGAAGGGGGTAGAAGCGCCCCGGCGGGCAGGGAGGGGGTAGAAGCGCCCCGGCGGGCAGGGAGGGGGTAGAAATGCCCGGTAGGTAAGGGGTTAAGCTGTAACAATACAACCTGGAAGCTGATTGGCTCCCATGTACAGCTGCACCCGATTCTGCACTCTCCGGTTTTAGTAAATCCACCCCAACGTGTTTTGCGCTCTCTAACATTTAGGTTTATTTTTCCTGAAAACTTGAATATGCAAATAACGTGCGACATAAAAAAAATGGCGACAGCCTCCGCTTCATTCTTCAGGGTCTCCGCTTTCAGGGGATCTTCCTTGTTTGGGGGCTTTTTTAGCAAAAAAAATGCTGATTTTATCCCCGTGTCGCCCCGGCAGGTGGTTGATGAGCTTTTATTTGTTATTTTTGGGTGGAGTTCCGCTATAAGGTTCTTTTGTAAATTGGTAATTTCTCCCCCCCCCCGTCCCTCGCCTCACCCCCCCCCACCACCTCTTGGTATGTAATAGGATCGGCTCGGCAGCCTTCCGCTCGGATCTCACTTTCTCCGGTAAAAGTTTCCCATCTCAGATGTCTATCGGCGTCTATCTCGCCTTACCTGCCCTCCGCTCACCTTGATGCCGATATCACACCTGGTGTCCATGGATGCCCCCCCCCCATCTGTGTTCCAAGGGGGAGGGGCCACGTTCCTTCTTTCCATTTCTCAGTTTTGCGTTTTTCGCTCTTGTCGATCGTCGATCGGGGAGTTTTGTCTTCTGTGCGATCGGCGTGACTCTACGTCTCCTAGTCGGTGAGGCAGGACCGCGGTTCATGTTTGGGCAATGCAATCCCGGGATGTGGAAGTGGAGCGCGGCGCTTGCTGCGCTCCCATGATGCTTTGCATGCAGTTCACAATCCCGCGTACGTTCTTTCCACTCGTTTCATCGTTTAATGTTGAGGATGTATTATCGCCTTCCCCCTCCTGGGGTGCATTGTGTGGCAGTCAGGAGGGGGTGGCGGTTATATTGGCCAAATCATCAGCATGGGGGGAGGGGGGTTGTAGTTTATTTTCCTGGTTTAAAGTGGCTGTAAACCTCAGACAGGAAATATGAACAAAGCACATTCCTCTATAGTGTGTGCTTGTCTTAGTCCAGAGCACTGAGTGGCATTTCTGTCACCTTTCTCTGCTGTCAGCACGAGTCACTTCTGATGAATTTTCCTGACACCAAGAAATAAAATGAAAACAGGAGAGGGAGCTCCAGCACACATCCTGTGGTTGGCAGCCTCAGCTCTCTCTCTCTCTCTCTCTCTCTCTCTGTGTGCGTCCGTCCAATCAGCTGTCAGAGCTCTCAGCACTGTGTAATATCAGCTGTCTGCCCCCCCCCCTTTTTTTTTTTTTTTTTCTTTCTGAACTCTCAGACAAGCTTTATAAATCCAGCACAGCCCTTTGAACAGATGTAGAGGAGAGAATACTGCAGATACACAGGTACAACTTATGTAGGAGGATCTGTTTCCTCTCTGTGTATCACCTGAGGCCGGTCACTTCGCTGGGTGTGGAAGGGTTTACAACCATTTTAAAGCGGAGTTCCCCCCCCCTCCCCCCACCTCCCAAAAAAAAGTTACAAATTCTGTGGCTGCTGACTTTAATATTCGCACACTCACCTGTTCGGGGATCCAGCGGTGTCCTCGCCCCGAGACGATCCTTTAATCAGCTGTCCGGGGGGCCCGCGCTGCCATCTTGAGTAAGGGAAAGCGCCAGTGATGCAGTGCAGGTTTCCTACTGCGCATGCGCGTAGCGTGCTGCACTTTGTGAATGGGCTGCAGTCCTCTGGGACCTTGGAAGTGTCCCAGAGGGATCGCCCAGAGGGGGGGGGGGGGCAACTTACGGCTCAGTGGGAGTGTGGGTACCTGTCTCCTAAGTAACCCCCCCCCCCAAAAAAAGGTACCAAATGCGGCAGCAGAGGAGGGGGTGATGGGGTGGTGAGGAGACAGAAAAGCAGAGCTTCCACTTTTGGGTGGAACTTTGCTTTAATGTTCCAGTGGGGAAGAGGCTGAAAGCAGAACTTCGCTCTCAGTCACCACAAACGATTTGTACTCTTTATACTGCTAGCATTAGTAAGTAGATAGGAAGGTATATTAGATTTACTTTGTTTTTACATTGTTTTTCAGTTACTTCCTGGTTTCTGGCCTAGGCCAAAATGATGTGATACATCTCAGGAGTCCTCAGCTAAGCACACCCTCCTGCTTGCATGCCTGAGCTAGGGACAGATGGATACCAGGAAGTAAATGCTACATGAATCATCTGCCCTTACTCAAGATGGCCGCAGCTGGAAATCCTAGGGAAGCAGGACTAATCTGTATATGAGCACCACAAAGCAAAATGGCTGTTTAATTCATACTGCTACAGGGCGGCACGGGTGCACAAAATCACATATGTATATAAAAAATGTGTGTGTGATTTCGCATTTCTGGGTAGGGGGCGTACGTGCTTCTTACCCACGCCGCCATTCGCGGTCCCAGCCGGTGATTGCCTAGGATCTCCGACGGGGAGGAGAACTGTTTGTAAACAAAACAGTTCTCCCTGTCAGCTCTGCACAGCCATCCAAAGCAGTGTGCACACAGACCCCGCACCCTAGTAAACCATTACTAGTAAAAATAAAAAAAATCCCAGTGTCTATACCGCCATTTGTAAATGCTATAACTTTCACGTAAACCAAATCATTTACACGGATTGGGATTTTTTTTTAGCGAAGACGCATTTAGGCCAAAATTTATGACGAAATTTAATTTAATTTTTTTTTTTAATTTTTACTGGACATGTTTAATAGCAAAAAGTCAAAAATATCATGTGATTCAGGTGTTCCAATCCCCTCCCAATCATGTGATTCAGGTGTTCCAATCCCCTCCCAATCATGTGATTCAGGTGTTCCAATCCCCTCCCAATCATGTGATTCAGGTGTTCCAATCCCCTCCCAATCATGTGATTCAGGTGTTCCAATCCCCTCCCAATCATGTGATTCAGGTGCTCCAATCCCCCCTCCATATCATGTAATTCAGGTGTTCCAATCCCCACTATATCATATGATTCAGGTGTTCCAATCTCCTCCATATCATGTGATTCAGGTGTTCCAATCCCCTCCATATCATGTGATTCAGGTGTTCCAATCCCCTCCCAATCATGTGATTCAGGTGTTCCAATCCCCTCCCAATCATGTGATTCAGGTGTTCCAATCCCCTCCCAATCATGTGATTCAGGTGTCCCAATCCCCTCCATATCATGTGATTCAGGTGTTCCAATCCCCTCCCAATCATGTGATTCAGGTGTTCCAATCCCCTCCATGGACACAGGTGTATACAATCAAGCCCCTAGGCATGCAGACGGCTTCTACAAACATTGGTGAAAGAATGGGTCGCTCTCAGGAGCTCAGTGACTCCAAGCGTGGTCCCGTGATAGGTGGCCACCTGGGCAATAAGTCCATCCGTGACATTTCCTGGCTACTAAATATTCCACGCTCAACTGTTAGTGGGATTATAACAAAGTGGAAGCCACTGGGACAACAACAGCCACTCAGCCACCAAGTGGTAGGCCACGTCACATGACAGGGCGGGGTCAGCGCATGCTGAAGCGCACAGTGCGCAGAAGTCACCAACTGTCTGCAGAGTCAATAGCTAAAGACCTCCAAACTTGGTGTGGCCTTCAGATGAGCCCAACAACAGTGCGTAGAGAGCTTCATGGAATGGGTTTCCATGGCCGAGCAGCTGCATCCAAGCCTTCCATCACCAAGTGCAATGCAAAGCGTCGGATGGCGTGGTGTAAAGCACGCCGCCATTGGACTCTGAGCAGAGGAGACGTGTTCTCTGGAGTGACCAATCACGCTTCTCTGTCTGGTAATCCAATGGACGTATCTAGGTTTGGCGGTGGCCAGGAGAACGGTACTTGCCTGACTGCATTGTGCCAAGTGTAAAGTTTGGTGGAGGGGGGATTATGGTGTGGGGTTGTTTTTCAGGGGTTGTGCTTGGCCCCCTAGTTCCAGTGAAGGGAACTCTTAAGGCGACATTTTGGACAATTTCATGCTCCCAACTTTGTGGGAGGAGTTTGGGGATGGCACCTTCCTGTTCCAACATGACTGCCCACCAGTGCACAAAGCAAGGTCCATAAAGACATGGAGGAGCCAGTTTGGGGTGGAGGAACTTGACTGTCCTGCACAGAGTCCTGACCTCAACCCCATAGAACACCTTTGGGATGAATTAGAGCGGAGACTGCGAGCCAGGCCTCCTCCCCCGACATCAGTGCCTGACCTGACAAATGTGCTTCTGGAAGAATGGTCCAACCTTCCCATAGACACCCTCCTAAACCTTGTGGGGGGCCTTCCCAGAAGAGTTGAAGCTGTCATAGCTGCAAAGGGCGGGGCCAACTCCAATATTGAACCCTACAGACCAAGACTGGGGGGCCATTAAAGGTCATGTGCCTGGAAAGGGCGGGGTCAACTCAATATTGAACCCTACGGACTGAGACTGGGAGGCCATTAAAGGTCGTGTCTGTGGAAAGGGCGGGGCCAACTCAATATTGAACCCTACGGACGAAGACTGGGGGGCCATTAAAGGTCATGTGTGTGGAAAGGGCGGAGCCAACTCAATATTGATCCCTACGGACGAAGACTGGGGGACCATTAAAGGTCATGTGTGTGGAAAGGGCGGGGCCAACTCAATATTGAACCCTACGGATAAAGACTGGGGGCCATTAAAGGTCATGTGTGTGGAAAGGCCGGCGGAACAATACTTTTGGCAATATAGTGTATGTGAGGCTGACAGGTGTGCCCGGGGATGAATGACTGGAATGAAAGTACTCTGCTTTCTGGCCATTCGCCCCTGGCCCATATTGCCCTAAACGATAGTACCGGTAGGTGCACCATCCGGCCACAGCGACTTTTGGCCGCTCATAGACTTTGACTGGCTGCCGGGTGCAGGAATGGACGATGCACCTGTACCCTCCTGCACTTAAACACCGGGATCTCATGCACTGGGGCTAAACGCCTAGGGTGCACGGGGCCTTCAAGTGGAACATCTCCCGGGTTCTACAAAAGTAAGTCTGAAGCTACAAGTCCTAACTTTTTTATGAAAAGACATATTCAGTTCAAGAAGTTTGGTGCAGCCTTCCTCCCACCCAAATTCTTCAGTCTTGTGCCGCCATCTTGGATTTGGTAACAGTGACTTCCTGATCAGTCATAGTCACCCCTCCCTACTGTGCATGCATGAGATGCGCTGACTGGAGAAGACTGTCCCGGAGCCTGCTGAGATGTGATTGGAGGAGGTTGTGGGCGGACCCAACGCAATGTAATCCTTTCCTAGCCGAGGAATGAGGATGTGGAGGATGTTCTTGGTGGGTGTTTGCTGGAATGCAGCTTCTTGGATCCGTTACTGAAAACAGGTGACTACAAGATTTGGAATGTAACAGATTCCTACTGACCACAGGCACTAGTATTACTATGACCAGCTACCGGACAACCCCCCCACCCCAGATCCACACTGATGCAAATTGTCATGCGACTTGGCTGTTCAAATCTCATCCAACGATCGCCAATGGAACCATTCTATTTGGTGCGACTTCATCAAAGTCACACCGATTGAAAAGTAGTACCTGCACCACTTTTGCCGATTTTCGGCTGCGACCTGCGTGGCCATCTGTGCATGAAGTCTCCCAGATGTCTATCAAGTTGCACTGCCATCTTACTTGGAAATTGTGCGACCTTGACTGAAGTCGCACGATATCAAAGTCAGATCCAGCGTGAACCGAGGCTTGAACCCCAAATCAAAATCATATATTGCAGCTTACCGGTCATCAGATGTGGCGGCTGCATTCGTTTTTTGTTTTTTTTTTCTTTTCACCTGGTGATCCGGCCAATAACATACCTCCTGTATTAGAGCGCCCCCACTCTGGAGGAAGGAGCACAGAGGGCACCTTTGGACAGCAGCATTGTCAGTCTGAAGGGACGGGAGTGCTAGGTACACTAGCAGATCTAGATACACCTACAAATTGAAGCCCAACTCCAGCTAATACTTTATAATCGGTTCCAGTTTTGTTCCTTTTGGGTTAAAGGGTTTGAATGAATATATAAAAGCTGATCATCGTAAGCACCCCTGTCTTATCCCTGTAACCGATACATCTGCAGGAGAGCTTGTTCTGTTGAAAAACAACAGACTTACTGGCCGGATCAGCAGATGGAATAAAACCTAAAGAAAACCAATGCAGGCGTCGCATCGAGGAATTGGGAAGCCGCGATATAAATGTTCGCTTTGCGGTTTCACACGCTTGAACTGCTGTGCTTCAGTAAAACATAAACAGCTTGTCCCTTTTGGCCCGCTGAACATGACTAATGCACTTTTATGGGGCTAGGCCACACCTCAGCAGCAGGCAATGCATGTGATTGCAGTGCGGTAGCATGGCAATTATAGAGTTCAATCAGTCAGGGAGGAGGTGACCTACAGTCAGGTCCATAAATATTGGGACATGGACACAATTCTAACATTTTTGGCTCTATACTCCACCACAATGGATTTGAAATGAAACAAACAAGATGTGCTTTAACTGCAGACTGTCAGCTTTAATTTGAGGGTATTTACATCCAAATCAGGTGAACGGTGTAGGAATTACAACAGTTTGCATATGTGCCTCCCACTTGTTAAGGGACCAAAGGTAATGGGACAATTGGCTTCTCAGCTGTTCCATGGCCAGGTGTGTGTTATTCCCTCATTATCCCAATTACAATGAGCAGATAAAAGGTCCAGAGTTCATTTCAAGTGTGCTATTTGCATTTGGAATCTGTTGCTGTCAACTCTCAAGATGAGATCCAAAGAGCTGTCACCATCAGTGAAGCCATCATTAGGCTGAAAAAAACAAAACAAACCCATCAGAGAGATAGCAAAAAACATTAGGCGTGGCCAAAACAACTGTTTGGAACATTCTTAAAAAAGAAGGAACGCACCGGTGAGCTCAGCAACACCAACAGACCCGGAAGACCACGGAAAACAACTGTGGTGGATGAGCGAAGAATTCTTTCCCTGGTGAAGAAAACACCCTTCACAACAGTTGGCCAGATCAAGAACACTCTCCAGGAGGTAGGTGTATGTGTGTCAAAGTCACCAATCAAGAGAAGACTTCACCAGAGTGAATACAGAGGGTTCACCACAAGATGGAAACCATTGGTGAGCCTCAAAAACAGGAAGGCCAGATTAGAGTTTGCCAAACGACATGTAAAAAAAGCCTTCACAGTTCTGGAACAACATCCTATGGACAGATGAGACCGACATCAACTTGTACCAGAGTGATGGGAAGAGAAGAGTATGGAGAAGGAACTGCTCATGGTCCTCAGCATACCACCTCATCAGTGATCATGGTGGTGGTAGTGTCATGGCGTGGGCATGTATGGCTGCCAATGGAACTGCTTCTCTTGTATTTATTGATGATGTGACTGCTGACAGAAGCAGCCGGATGAATTGTGAAGTGTTTCGGGAATATTATCGGCTCATATTCAGCCAAATGCTTCACAACTCATTGGACGCTTCACAGTGCAGATGGACAATGACCCAAAGCAGACTGCAAAAGCAACCAAAGAAGTGGAATGTTCTGCAATGGCCAAGTCCATCACCTGACCTGAATCCGATGGAGCATTTCACTTGCTGAAGACAAAACTGAAGGGAAAATGCCCCAAGAACAAGCAGGAACTGAAGACAGTTGCAGTAGAGGCCTGGCAGAGCATCACCAGGGATGACACCCAGCGTCTGTCTGCTGATGTCTATGCGTTCCACACTTCAGGCTGTCATTGACTGCAAAGGATTTGTAACCAAGTATTAAAAAGTGAAAGTTTGATTTATGATTATTATTCTGTCTCATTACTTTTGGTCCCTTAACAAGTGGGAGGCACCTATGCAAACTGTTGTAATTCCTACAAACGTTCACCTGATTTGGATGTAAATACCCTCAAATTAAAGCTGACAGTCTGCAGTTAAAGCACATCTTGTTCGTTTCATTTCAAATCCATTGTGGTGGTGTATAGAGCCAAAAATGTTAGAATTGTGTCCATGTCCCAATATTTATGGACCTGACTGTATCTCCTCGCCACCTGTCACACAGCTCTGAAAAGTGACTGTAGCTGCTGGAAAAGCTCGGCATGCGATGTTCTACTTTTCCGAAGATCTGATGAGTATGGCTGAGTGCAGCAAGGACATGAAATGGGGGGGGGAGCTATCTGCAGTGATGGGTCTACAGTATCAAGGACTCGTTGGGTCTGTCCATGGCTACGATTGTCCTGCGTGTACTCCAATTGTCAGAGTCCATGAAGAGAACCTTTGTTTGGACTTCCCA